GAGAAAGACTTCTCAGCTATCTCGAGAGTTAATAAGCTTGTTACTCCCCACTGACTCTAATATTGTCTTTCTCACCACTAGTGTGAGAGCCTGAAGCTATTAATCCATGGACATATGGATTTTACAACTGCTAGTATTTCATCTCCCAGCAGACTTATTGCATCCAATGGTAAATGCTCGGCGGCAGCCACAAAAGCAATAACACATCCAGTATCTAGATGAGAACAAGGAGTGTGATACTGTAGGAGGACTCTTAACATATCACAGTGAAAGCAGAGATTGTGTTTTTCCATATTTGCACTCTTAAAAACATTTGGATTGGGGATGACAGCTCTGAAAACATTTTCCTATTTTTCATATTTCACATTAAGTGCAGAGCTAAATTGCATAAAATTGGGGGCTCATATTGGCCCCAGCTGACAATGAATAATGGGATAAAGGCTGGGGAGAACGTGCATGGTAATGGCCATATTTACAGGGACCATCAATCATCTCCAATCCGCCAGCAGCCTCATCCCTCATAGGATGAAGAGAGAGAAAGGGGCGGTACCCCTTCAAAACAAACTGCTTCTCCCTCTTTTCCATCCAATCAGTTTTGTCTCCCTCCCTCTCTCTCACTCTCCCTGTCATAGTCCAACTTTAGCTTTTAGGGAAATCAATAGCGATGAAAGTTATAAAGTGCGACCTTGCTAAAAGTTTACCAGCCTCCCAGCATACTCATATTTTTGGTGATGGAAAGGATCATGTGAATGACAGAGCAAAGAGGAAATTCCCAGCCCTGGAACTGGCCAAATTGGAGAAGAAAAATAAGCGCTTAGTAAGGGAAGATCAAGTTGACATTTGTGAAAATCTAATTCCAGTGTGTCAGGGTCTGTGATCCAGAAGAGAGATCAATGTCAACACACATACAGCAGCGGAAAGACTTGAGAACTGAGAGGAAGCTGAGAATGGCCAGAGTATTCACATCAAGCTTGAGGCTCCGTAGGCTGTATGTAATGAGATTACAATTACTACACAAAAAACCAGAATGATACAACCTAGCTTCTATGGTGAGTTTATTATATGTGACAACATACTGTGAAGCAATAGGGTTTAAATTGGCTCTGAATGATCTCACTCAAGGCTGGTGTGACGGCCCATCACGTGACTTCCTGTTGATGATTGAAGGAGCCTGGGTGGGTCGTCAGAGTAACTGATTGCACCTGAGAGGTGGGAGCAGCAAAAGGTTGCTTCCCCAGTCTGTGTGCTCTCTCCCTGGGCGGCTGCCACCTGACATCATGGCCGCTGTCTTGGTTTAGTTTGTTTCTACATTTGTTTCAACACTCTCACCTACACTTCCCCTCATTTAAAAGCGTGTCTTAATATAATGAGCCACATTTTCAGATTGTGACCTAACAAATGCACTTTTAACATAAATTCAACACTGCCTACCTCTTTTTCATTTGCCTATTTTCCTCCCCACACTCGTCCATGCACTGCTGAAGTGAGTGAGCTTATTGCATTGTTGGTTAAATATATTAAAGTAGGGGGACTGTGTTGTCAATGTTCATGGTTTAATACCAGACCAGAGAGTGGGTCGTCCACTAATCAGACGGTCTGTGGCTACATCCATATTGACGATGGATTGAAATCACAGTGTGAATGTAAATCAAAACTACGTCTCACAGCATCACAGCAAATCTGATTTTTACAATGTTGAAGTGATCATACTTTAAGAAGCATCCACGATTCATTGAATGTATGAGAAAAGTCTTCAAAGGGAACAAGAAACCACTTGAACTAGAAGTGACACAACATGCTGACACTTCAGGGAAAGTAAAAAGTGGTGGATTCATTAGAAAACCGACAGGTGAACGTCTTCAGCCTGTGCTCTAAAGCTTAATGATTTAAAGCTCAAATGAATGGCCTGATGATTAAGTCAGAGAGAGAGTGAAAGAGAGAGAGACGGAAACAAAAGCAGCTGTCTCAGAAAATGAGTGAGGAAGCGTATATGGAGAGGAAGATAAGGAAAAGGAATAAAAAAAGAAGAGAATGGGATGAGAGGGAGAAGGCGGGAGCCAGAGGTGGTGAGTATAAATCACGACAGGAGCCAAGACAAAGGGAGGGAGACACTTCAGCTCAAGAGAAAGGAAAGTTACCCTGGGGAGTTGCTGTCGAATGAGGGTTGTTTGTGAAGTGGGAAAAAAAGAAGTGGGAAAAAAAATACTTTTAAGTTTACAGAACAAACATTGCAAAGATTGAAATGAGATGGTGTACCAGAGTACACGGGTCAGTACACAAGTCAGTACACAAGTCAGTGAGAGTCAGCTGGTGCAGAGGTTTTCAATATCCCAGGACCCTTCTTCACTGATTAATTACAGCAACAATCAGCAGGCAGACCCCGCCCACCCAGTGTGGATCAAGGCCCGAACCTGAGATCACCTGAGGGGGAGGAAGGATGAAAGGAACAGGAGGGAGGGAAGCATAGTGGAGAGGACGGACGAGAAGTTAGAGGAAAGGAAACAGGAACAGCAGTAAGGCAAGAGGAATGATAAGGGTGGATCGAGAGTGTAAGTGGGGAAGAAGTTGGAAGTCACTCCAGGCAAAAGAAAAATACAATGGAGGTTCAAAAGAAGCAAGGGAAAAAGAAGATGAGAAGAGGAAGGGTGGAGGGAATTAGTAAGAGACGAAGGAGTGAAGGGTGATTACAGAGGGAGAGAGAAGGGTGGGAGGCGAACGGATAGATCAATTACCAGTGGCCCTAGTGTTGAACCACTGAAAAGAGTCTATGGCGAATAATCAAACTTTCCACCCACACTCTGTTTTCACTGTTCATCAACAACATCTCTCTTTCTCTGGAATACTGTCCGTCTCCACACCTTTTCTCTCCTGCACATTCTCTCAGTTTATCGCTTTCTCCGCTAAGTGTTGACCTATACAGAGAAAAATGGGGACACTCCCTTAAGAGTCGTAAAATGTGAACACAAGCCAATTCTCTATCTACAAATGCTCTCCCAATGACAATAGCATCATGTCATCATTCTCAGTGACGCACAGGTGGAGGACGTAAACGTCACACACGAGAATGTGAAGGAAATAACACACACACTGGTCAAATTCTCAAAAGTTTAAAACTCGTGCTAGACAACAGACAGAAACGGCTGGAAACTGGAAAAAATGAACAATGCATGTGTCATGGTTAGTGTATTTTTGTCCTCTTTTATAAAGAGTGTTTTCAGTTCAGTTCGTTTAAACTGTGTTTTTGTTACGTTTGCTCTATGTCCCCTCTTTGTCCCTCGCTGTGTTCATCTCTGTGTTTCTCTTTCTATGTTTCACCCTGTGTTTCTCCTGTGCTCATCTCTGTGTTCCTCTGTTTCCTGTTTTATTTTGTAGTCCCCACTCCTGTTGTGTCTTCCCCACTAGACTTCCTGCCCTCATCAGGCTCACCTGTTTGTCCTGTGCCACCTGTCTCCAGTTACTCATCAGTTCAGTGTGTATTTAAGTCTTTGTGTTCTCCTGGTTCTGTTGGTTCGTCCTTGTCATGTTCATGTGTCTCGTCCCTGCTCGCTAGTTTTTCATGTCTTTCCCTGTGCTACTCCTCTGTTTTGTCTGAGAGCCACTTCTGTTTTATTGAGGATTTCTTTTGTTACGTTCACCTTTAAATAAAGGACACTTTTTGTTACTTGAGATTGAGCTCTGCGTTTTGGTCCACCTGTTCCATTTTTCTATCGCATCCCCACCCACCTGACAGCATGATATGAGATGAGAAATTACAGTTCTTGTTTCCTGCACATATAAAGTTATACGTACTATGAAGACCACATCCAGTTTGTTTGATACAAACAGGATATGTTCACCCAAACCTGATGTGCATGACATATCTGGGATCTGAGGAGAGTCTCCTCTTTCATTTGGAAGGCAAGATGTGAAGTCCACACACACACACGCACACACACACACACACACACACACATCTAAAGGTCAAGATAAAAAAAGGGTCATCACACTTGCTGCTGTCATTTTCAAATGGCTCACATGAGAGTAAACAAACAAAAACAAGAACACAACATTCATGTGGAAGTGACACCAGCTACTTTGAGGATACTCCATGTGCGTGCGTGCACATGAGCATGTGTGTGTGTAATGAATTCATATATGTATTTATGTTTGTGTGCACATCTGAAAACCGCATATTTACCGTATCCACCTGAGAATACCTGCGTGTGTGTTTCTGTCTATGCTTGTGTGTGTGTGTGTGTGTTCTTGGCTGAGACTCTGACAGAGATGGATGAGGCAGAGCCGGCCCTGCGAGGGACTGGTGCGCTTTTGCGTCAGTGACCTCTGACCTCGGCGAGGCCGGCAGCGACAGACACGCTCTCTACCACCGTGCATTAGTTAATGACCAGTTGCTGTCTCCCTGAAAACACACACACACAGGGGGGGGGGTTCAACCTCAGGAGGAGATAGCACAGGTGTTTGTGTGTGTTTGTGCACAGATGGGTAATGGGCTGGAGGGAAAGGGTGATTCGACAATGACTTGACGAATTTAAACAACCTAGAAGGACTCTTTGCTCGATCCTTCACTTGGATCCCACCCAGAGTCTCTGAGAGAAAGAGGACGAATCAATTCGCTTCAACATTATTATCAGAAACACTTCACAGCTCTATGTGTGGTGCTTTCAAACACCAGACTGGCATTAGGAAATTAACTGCAATATCTTGGCGTTAGGGTCAGACTGATACAGTATTTCAGGCTGAGTTATGATATGTTTACCATTGATTTTGTCTTCAACGTGTTCCTTTTCTACAATGATAATGAGCATTGAACTTTGCTTTGACTCTTAAGAAAACCAATATTAGCCAACAAATTAACTAGTTCAGAATTTCAGAGGTTTTCAGAAGTGGGATGCCAGTGTACAGGTGTGGGGCTGAGGTTGACATTATTTATTACATCAGAGCAATTAGGATTCTGCATAAACTGAACGGATTTCCACAATTTGGTGGAAGGATTGAACATGGGCCAAGAAAGAACCCCTTCCTTGTATTTTTAGGAATTTCCTGGGAATAGTAAATGTATCTTGATGAAGAAAAACAGGTGCAGAAGCTAATTAAAAGCCTCAAAACTACTTTTTACTGTCTTATGAGATTTTATCATATATTAATATTATGCACTTTTTTATTTTTTTATTTGAGAACGTATGGGATCCAATGAATAATTATAGGCATCAGGAATTTGAGCGTAAGACAGGGCCAAGCCTTTTTAGCAAATGATTTTGTAAAATGAAATGATACTTGTAACCTGTTTTTAAGTTGTTGATTTCACGATGAAAAATATTTTAATCAAATGTTAAAACAGGGGGGAACAGTGCATTTGTTAGGGATTATTCTCAGTAGAAATTGGAGAAAGGAAACTGAGAACCTGGGAATGTGTGTGTGTGTGTGTGTGTGTGTGTGTGTGTGTGTGTGTGTGTGTGTGCTCTTACATTTTACAGGTCAACTGCATTCTACATGATGCAAGATGGTCTCGTAAAAAAGATCTTGATCTACGTCGGACTATGCAGCCTCCATTTCAGGGCATGTCAGCTTGTGTGATGAATGGTGGTTCTGGGTATTACGATGTAAATAGAATGAAAATGATCCGTTGCACCGTTGCACCACTCTCATGTTTGCGAAGGTAATCTTAATTAAAAACAAAAGAGTAAGAGGGAAAGTCCTCTGCATAATTTCATGCACGTCTTGCGAAATAGGACAACAGATTGCAGTGTGTCTCGTGACTGTCGACTTTCATCTGGGACAAGTGTGCCGGGGCCTTTTAGACCATGTGACTAAGGAGAGAGACATTGAGAATCAATGTGTGTGTAAAAGAGAGAGAACTTCTCCAAACCTGTCTTAATATCTCTGTCCTCCTCTCTCCTTTCTCCTGCTTCCTTTGGCACAGTGCAGAGTGAGCACTTCTGCCTCCTTCTTCCCTCTCTCTAACTCCCTCCCTCTCTCCATGTCACGGCAGTGGAACATGGAGTACAATGCTAATCAGGCTCTCTCACTGTACATACATCTCCCTCCCTCGCTACCATTTGCCCACACGGACACACACACACACACACACAAGAGAGAGAACGCCGTCTAACGAGTGTCAGGAGTCGTAATAAGGAAACGAAACTTTGCCTTTCATGTGCCTCACTTTCCTCTGCCCCTCCCTCTGTCTCTTCCTCTCTCTTTTTTATTCGTTTTATGTCAGCGTCAGCTCCCAAATGAGGCAATCAACAGTCATGGAACTATAATGCTGTCTTTCTTTTCCTCGGGTCATATCCCTTATCAAGGTCCAGAATAAGCCAAATGTTAGTAAAATTATATGTTGGTGAAGAAAATAAATGAGGTCAGTGAACATTGGCAATGATTAGGCCAACTTCCTTACAAACGTTATTCACTGCAACACTTTCTAGCTCGGTTGACTGACCTTGTTTCATATTTCTTTGACTGACCTTTGCCATCCAACTTCGCAGTAGTTTAATGCAATAGATGACAGTGTTTTAATATAACGGCCCCAGTAATGTTTGCATAATGAGATTTAAAACATCAACTGTTTGAAAAAGATCAAATTAGCTTGTGTTAGGCTGGAGCATGCACTGTGTATAAAGATCAACACTGTGACATCTTTAATAATTCAAGTTTTCTTCATCACAGTGCTAATAATCTATTTGGCAAACTACCTAGTCACAATTTCAGGAAAGTAAATAAATAATTGACTCCAATGTCCCCGAAAGGCGTAACATTTTGATTGGTGTAGCTCACCAGCCATAGTTTCAGTCTTTTAAGATCCCAGTTGTAGAGACGTGAAAATGCTACCAACCTTCTCATCCAATTTAGGACAGGGAATGGAACAAGTCAAACTCATAATCAAGTCTGACGGCAGGTCAGTTAAACGCTTCCTAGTGTTACTAACAGCTTACCTGACACTGATGTGAACTGGCTGCTGGTAACCTTCACTCTGAAACTCCATGCAGGTTAATTCAGGCCAGTGACAGTGAATCCAGTTTCCAAAACACTGAATCAATGTAAACTGGCAATGCTTTTTATTTTCATGACATTAAAATATTTGCCAGGGATCTGAGAATTTTTGATCTGAGAAAGTGTGACGTGGAATTCACTGTTTTCACCAACAAGGACAGGGGACATAAAAGTTCTGTGGATGTTTTACCTGCAGCAGTTGTGCGTCTTGTCACCAGATTCTGTATGGCACAACTAATTAGGCTCTCAGCAGAGATGTTATACACACACACACACACACACACACGCAGACACATGCAAAAGGTGCTGCATCGTCAAGACACAAAACACCGTAGTTGCCGTGGCAGCCAAAGAAGCACCATGGGACCGGCATGCTGTGCATCGCCACAGGCGACAAGCACCACTGGAGTCTCCCGCAATATGGTTGAGTTTCCTTTCAAACCTCTTGCCATCATTCACTCGCTCCCTTTGTCTTTCGCTCTCTTTCTCCATATCCAATCTGTGTCTCTCTCACTGTGTAATCATATCCTTTACACCATAGGCTCCCAATCTAATCTCATGCATCGGTACTCTTTAATTAAACTGATTTGCGGAGACTCTCTCCTCCAGTGTGTCCTCAATTCATTCATGCCCCCATACCAAAACACACACTCTCACTCTCTCTCTCTCTCTTTCTCTCTCACACACAAACACACCCTATGTTGTCGTTGGCCGCTCTGCAATCAACCGAAATGCCACGCAGTTCACAAAATGTTACTCCTAATTTGTTCTTGATCGCACTGAAGCAGCTGCTCCCCATCCAGTACAATTGCTCTTTGATTGGTGACACCAAACAGCAAGGACTCGACAACAAACAGCCAACAAGAATGTCCTAAAATGGCACCTCGGGGTGGGCGGACTAGTCAAGTTATCGCTGGCCATTGTGCGCGCAGTTCGCTTGTCAGCTGAAATTGGCCCGAGCGAGACGGGGTTATCCTCACGGAGCAGCAGGCTGCAGCTCATCATGGAGAAAACAAGAGAAAACAGTTGTACAGTAGCCCCTGCACCTCTGAGGCTAATTTGCTGAACAGAGATAATAGGAATAGAGAAGCTACAGTACGCTCTTTTTTTCCTGCTCTCCCTCTTCTTATAATTTCCCTCTTTGTTCACCTGCTTATCTACCTCCTGCTCCTCCTCTCTCACCGCAGTACTGAGGGATTCAATTTCCCTCCAGTTAATAAACTGCACTGTAATTATACAAGCCGTTTTATTGAACTGGACGGGGATAATTCCCTTTATGCGTTCAGAGACGGGCCTTCCCCTTAAAACCCATCCGGGCAACCCCATCTTCCTCAGCTGGCTCAGTGATTTCCTCTTACATCTGTGCATCTGCTCATCTGTCGTTTGTCTTCTCCCAGTCGTCCCTTTGGTACCGCTCTTCTTCCTTTTCTGTCGGCAGGTCAGCTTGTCTGGCTTACTGCTGGTGATTCATTTATTACTGTCATGTATCTCCATTACGCTGCAGCAGAGCGGGGCTGCCTGCGAGGGTACAAAAACCCTGTGATAAAACTTGGCACGCAAAGCTTGAATTGGCTTTAGAGAAGTCTTCTGCCTTACTCACTGACGGTCTGAAAAGACTTCAGCGTGCATGTGTGAGGGAGTTACTGAAGCATTCAGGTGATATTTAACCAAGGATCAAATTAAAAGTTAATCCTGGGGATGCATTGCCTCATTCTTCATTCATACTGTATGTGCTGAAAGTTGTCCAATTATACATGTGATTATAAAATTCACACTCACATAAGTAAAAACATAAAAACGCAATCACGCATACAGACCCACTTTGTTGCTCGTGTCACTTGGAGAAATCTGACAAGCAGCTAGACTCAACATCAGCGTGCCTGCACAGGATGTCTGTGTCTGCTGGCTGAGGCAGTTAGACAAAGGCCGATGCACACATCAGACAGGAGGAAACTATATCAGATATTTTTTGCACAAAAGTCTTGACTGTTGACTCTAATTTTTCTCAGTTGTGTTATATCTTACACATCAGTTTTTAAAACAACAACCAAACTAACAAGACAAAAAACACATCACTATGTTTGTCTTTTTAGGTAGTTCTTATCACAAGTGTTCAATTTCTGGTAGGTTTGGTTTTATTCAATTATTTGATGCTATTTAAGTGGCTGAAATGTCACAATTAACAGTTGAGATAGGTCGACCTCAATGCTGCAGCTGCTTCCATGGATGGATGGGTGGCAAATAGGTATAGCTATCTTGTATATGCTGTGATGATTAATTGTACTATACTTTTTTAGTGAATACAAAAAGAAAATCTTTTTTCCCTCACCCCTCTCCACTGGGAAGTCAGAGGTTAAGGCCAGATACAGAGGGCATTTCTGGGAGTGGCCGTATTCTGTTTTTCTGAAGGACACGCAAGGTTGATGGTTCCCCGCCGGGTGGCTTAACGGGAGCTTAACTTCAGATCATCTTCCAAAATCCTCAAGAGCCAGAGATTCTTCATTGGAACAGCTCAGTCGCTGTTTAAGGAGGAGTATGCAAAGAATCTGGCAACATGACAGGCCCACAACAACATGTAAAGCCATAATGACTATCGTCAGGCCAATCATTACTGTCATGCATCAGGGAGGCAAACTAAGACTAATAGGGTCCTTCTAAGGTCTCGGGAGATTCACTGTGTACAGAAGTGAGTGGGTTGGGCAGGGGGTATAGAGGCAGGTTTTCAATAACCTGATCAACTCTTCCATTTTGCTTAAATCTCTCACTAATTTTCTCTCTCTCTCTCTTAAGTGTAATTGGAGAGAAGGTGAGGCGAGCAGGGGGTAGTGGTGGAGGGACTCCTCAGCCATTTTTCCTCTCTAATTGCTGCAGGGTTTTTGCAACGACAATTAAGTCACAGCCCCTTCAGGCTGCATGAGGATTGAGAACTGGGAGGCTGAGATATGTGGAGATGGAAAGAATAATAAACGCTCACATTTAAAAGGTGAATGTGAGCTTTGAAGTTGAGTCAAAATAGCAACCAGCTGGTGTGCCGTGAAGATGGAGTTAACACCTGCATGTACACAAAATGATTTGTAACGGCAAGAAGGTTAAATAATTAAAACAATATTGCTCAGTTAGGGATGTCCATTGGTCACTGGTTTCTATTTCAAAACACTTTGATAGCTTGTGCAGAAACGGGCACATTAAGGAGGAGCATTCATTTTCTCTAGCGTGCACTTCACGTGCAAATAAGAAATCAAATTGGGTTTCAGTGAAGGGGAAAAAGACACCTCCACAAAGTTTTTTTCCCCGATGAAGACCGAATATGTCCTAGAAGTAGTCTTAGCTGGTCTTGTCATCACTCCATCTACAAATGTCTTGAGTAATGTCCCTAGCTGAGGACTGAGGAGATGAACTATTCCTTCATTTACCAGCTGCTAGCTGCCTGCCTGCTTCCTCACTGGTTCGGAACAGTCTTGCGCGACTTTTATGTCAGCAGATGCATTTGCTTTCAATCCAATCACAAACCTCACAACTCTGGAGGCAGTTCCACCAACCAAATCACATTCCATCTTCAATGGGTACATAAGGTCAACAACTATCAAATTTAAACCAAAAACTAATTTTAATAGCAGGTATGATTGGTGTATGTTTTTCTACAGCAACAGTCACTACTAATGTTGTCACCTATAAGATACAGGTTAACCATGTGCTTCAGGTTTTTACCTCGAAATAAAGTTACTAATTATTGGCTAAAATTAGAGCTTGTAGCTCATGTTTCTTTGCAATTGGGCTATACTTTGAGATCTCATCCATGTCAATACAGCATAAACATACCTGACATACAAATATAAAAATAGCATTAAGTTGTATTTGCTAGTTTTCCATTAAGTTGTTCACAATCTAAATGTAAGGGTCAGTCCTATTCTGGCTGTTATACTATAAGAAATAAAAAATAAACTAAACACATTGAGAAAGCCAGTCCTCAAAGCAATCATCTCTGTGGTTCTATAGACATTATTATATGCTATAAAAACAAATCATGCCAATAAATAGGTGAATGTGTGTCCTATACATAATCAACTTTTCTGGGTGGGTGGCCAGGAAACATTTAGCATGTACATTTATTCATTAGACTGTCTGGCACAGGACAACACCCTGGCAACGTCACAGAGGCAATAAAAAGTACTTCTGCTTTCGGCGAGATTAGAGTACTACAGCAAAGAGCCTGTTTGGATCGACAGTGTATATTCAGACTAACGCTGTGTGAGTCCACAAAGTCATAGTCGGTGAACAATCTCCAGGCTGTACATCATGTTGACAGTATAGATTACAGTCTGGGTGCCGTAGCTTCAGGCCCCCAGAAAGTAGTTGCTCGAGTGTCCAAGGCTATAACTATAACCAGGGAGTGTTCTTCAATTGAATGCCAGTCCCTTTTAAATAGCATCCACTGTGCAAAACATAATATCTGTGTTATAGCCATCTCCATTCTTTAGCTGCATATGTTATGTCCGTGTCTGAGCAGCTTCCAAGGCATTTGAGTCCACAAGCGCTGAAGGTAATTTCCATTTTAAAACATTATGAGCACGGCAGCTGGTAGATGAGTAGCAGGCGATAAAGCAGCACGAGTTCCAGCTCATCTGTGCACGTGCCGCAAGTTCAGTGGCATAGTTTGGATCCGTCCCTCTCCACAGAGGGATTCTCCTCTTGTTTCCTTTCTACCGCCCGGTGTTTTCCACGGGTGACTCCCTGCACGCAAACCTCTGTCCCAGTGCTTCGCTTGCTTAACTTCACACATGCTCAGATCTAAACTGTGATTGTGGCACACTTCAACTTCCTATGTCGCATCCCTCTCTGACATAAGCACTCCCAAGGTCCCTGACTGACAGTAATCTAACATTTATACTTCCGCTGAAAGCCTCAAATACAACCATGAGGGTGTGTGTGTGTGTGTGTGTGTGTGTGTCTCAGCTTCTTAATATTTTAAGCTGCTGTGTCTAAGGCTTGAGTGTTCACTTTACCTTGACATGTACTGGGAGGAGGAGGGCTCTACATTGATAAACTATGCCCAGTTTATCTATCTACACTTTAAAGTGGCATGATGTACAAGATCTTTTTTTGCTCACTTTTAAACCTGAATATTTTCATCCTCAGATTAACCCAGGATTACTTGTCTTAATGCACATTGCTGATTTTCAAAGATATTAAATAAAAAGATTCAGCTCAATATGACCCATGACATAACAGCATTTACTATTTTCACCATTTTTCATTTCCTCTATCATCGAATGGGGATTCTGTAATTTGGCTGATCTAATTTAAGGCTTTGATTTATTCTATATTCAATTTTTGGGACTTTTAGTAAAATCATGTAGGATTATTGATCCCACAGGCGACATACACAGATTACAATTTATAATTTTAATCCTGCATTTAAGTTTAAAACTCAAGGTGATGTAGTGATTGAATCTAATTTGTACATGGAAACATTAACCCTAAAAATAAAAGAGGAGTGATCGCACACTGTTTTACTTGAATTGTTTTCTGTGTCCCTGGATTATAATAAGATATTGGAAAAACCTATTTCTGTTAAATTAGTGGGTAGTTAACTTGCACGGTATCAGTCAGCACACTGCCCTTTCATTAATAGTACATCGTTAGTGTTTAAGATTAGCATTTGAAATATTTCAAAATAGATTCCCCTTATATCGAAACTTGACTGTATATGTTAAGCAATTAATACATTATGCATATGCGAGTGTGTGGCGCACGTTGACTGTCATTGAGGGTACAAGGGCATCGCTAAAAGCCCTCTTTTCGCAAATGGAGAGAAACGGAGATGACAGTGTGTACGTGTCACAGGCAGGACATATCTTATAATGATAACTTATCTCAGCAAGCAGATACGCCCGATATGGAATATAGGAGACACCCACTGAGCGAGTGTGTCTCCTCTCTCTGCTTCACACACTTACACATGATCTCTCTCTCCCTCTTTCTCTGTTACATGGTGTGCTCATTATCAAATTTATTAATGGCCACTTAATTATTACGGCTTATCTTCTGCTAAAGCCGCGGCGCTGCCCCCAGACTCCAACCAGCACTCATGTACATGTTTGCACAAAACCTTTCTCACACAGCTTATGTTGTGTGTGTGTGTGTGTGTGTTTTTGTATCTTCCACGTGGTGCTGAGAGGGTGCACACACACACACACACACACACACACACACACTGAATTACTGGCATTGTTCAGACTATCAGAAGAAGATTCCTATATGAGAATCAAAAATCCTCTATCATTCATTCATTTCACTCTCTCCTCTTCATCTCCCCTTCTTGAAATAATTGAGCAATTCCTGTCTTTATCTTATATCCTCCTTCCTCCCTCCATCTTTCAGCCATCCCCTTCATTCCCTCTCTATCAGGCCATCTCCCCTCGCTCCTCCTGACCCCTCTTACCTCCCTCCCCTCCTTGCTTCCAGCCACCGACGGACTCCTTGCTCCTCTATATCCTTCCATCTCTCTATCACACCATCTCCTCCTCGCCATTTTAGAGCTGCCTTTACTTCCTCATCCCTATCTGTCCATCTCTCTCTGGCTCTATATATAAGATATATGTTATGCTCCCTCCCAAAATGAGCAGTTTTCTTTTTTTACTTCCTGTCTGCCAAGAACATTGGCCTTAAAATAAGTTTTTAATAATTGTCTCAATCAATACTTTATTGTAAATGATACATTAAATGGTATTTTTCTTTTTGTATTATTTCTACTGAACAAAATTAACAATTAAAAATAATGGTCAGTATGGGGCCATTAATTCACTGAATTTCTACCACCTTCTAGCACTGCCACATATGGAATACACAGCACACACACACACACACACACACACACACACACACACACACTGCTGCTGGGTTTTGTTATGCCTCTCCAAACCCCTTAATAGACGTGTCTTCATATCACAGCCAAGTTAAAGTCATCCAGCACTCTATGGTTCAAGAACAGCTGACAAAAAGTTGATACTCTCCACGGGCCCCCACTTTGTAACACAGACACCTTCATAGTTCGGACATGACACGAGTTGCAACCAAAATAGACTCGTGTCCAATTCATGCTCAGTGAGGGGATGCAGATTTGTGCAAAAACAGGTTAGGAGGAAATAATCCCTCCATCAGCCTAATTGTCATGTTAATTTAAGATTATAAAGATAATCTAGTAGGATAGAATATTATCTAGACCTGCTGACCTGTGGCATCACACTTATATATCTCTCTCCTTCCTCCTCCTCCGCCTCCTCTACGTCTTTCGTCCTCCTCTTTTCACTTGGTTACCTCTAGCTCGAGGTCAGACTTCAGTCTGTCCTTGTCTGCTCTAATCACACCATCACCCAAT